AGATCCTTTGTCAGTGTCAGTCATGTGGATGAGTCATGGCCATTGCTTGACCAATTTGCTCTCTGTGAAAGCCTGAGAGAATGTTTTCTATCCATGTGACTCTCCTTAGGCACATTCTACATCATCAATCACTTTCCTCTGTGGCCCTATAATCTCCTTGATCAGAAAACTTGGGACACCATTGAGTTACAGGATGTTGTAGTACAGGTTCTCCTATGTCCTGAGTCCTCACTGACCTTTAAAGGCTAGGGCCAAACTGTTGGCTGTCCTTGCAGCCCTTCTTTTTCTGTAATTTTTGGTCTGCAAACTTGAGTTGCTAACCCTCCCGAAGAGAAGCTTAATGATATTACCTATAATATAGTATTGCCCATTATTTCTACCCATTTATACTTCCACTGATGGTAGTTTGACATTGGTCCAGTTTCATTTCCATATCTTACAGATTTAGAAAGAGATTTGTAATGGGATATTCATGGTGTTAAATTCCACAAAACAAAAATTTTGAATTTATAGCTTTTCTTTATAGAAGTTCATAGATAGTTTATTGGTTCTATTGTCTATTTAATTCATTTACTCAACAACTATGTATTGACTCACTTATTTACAAAGACTGGAGATGCAGCAGTAAATATGTGAATAAGATAAGATGCAGACATGTTTTGTAATGGTTGGGAATCAGATAGGAAGTAGTACAAAGTAATATAAAGTTAATCATTCCCTATAAGGGTGAGAGCATCTATGTATAAAAATAGGGTACTCTTAAAACATGAATGAAAGAAACGATCTCTGAGCAGTACTGGGGAAGGTTTTGTTGGCTAAAGACAGTTGATCAGTGGGTTAAAAAATGAAATGCTATAGCCATCTTGAGTAGGAAGTTTTGAACAAAAGCATATACAATGGTACTGAGATTAAAAGAAATATTTTAAAGATTTTCTAAGGGCCAAAAAGTCAGGCAGATGGAAAGATACACAAAGGATCCAAGACATAGCTGAAGAGGAGATATAAGCAGGGGATTCCAAGCCTCTCTTGTAGATTTTCATGATTTTGATTTCTCTCTCAAGACCAGTGTGACCAATTCAGGGATTCAGGGAAAGAGGTGGACAATAAGATGTTCACTGAAACAAACTTTCTTCTGGGCTGGAGGGAAAACTGCAGCATGATGTAGAACTTTCCTGCAGGGTTCAGGAAAGTGAGAGTTAATGTCTCTGGGTGGGCTGATGGTGCAGGCAGGGTGGACACCCTACAGAGATGGTTAGGTTGAAAGCAGGCACAATGTGCACAAAACAAGATTCCTTGCATCCCAGGGAGCTTAATAGCAGTGGCTCCAGCAGTGTGTGTTCAACAAATGCCAATGCTAAAAGGATGAAGTGGAAGGGATCTTCTATTTTTGTCCTCCATTCTTTCTGCCAATTCTGGGCACTTTTCTTCCTAGAAATCTTACAGCATGATGGGATTCAGAATTCTACTGAAATAAAACCAACTGAAAGTGTGCTATGTTAATTTAGAAATCATTTAAATAAATTTCACCTACCTTATACATATCACCAGGATATGCAGTGGGGCACAAAGAAGACCAGGGTTTGGCCACTGCGTTTAGCATTTCACTGCCCAGTAATCCCACAGAATTGTGGTGTGAGACCTGTCCCACAAGTGTGGCACCATTACCGTGTAGTATAGAGACCAAAAGTGCTCTCCAGATTTGTATTGTTCTGTTCGAAGAACTGGGTGGAATATCTGATGAATGTGAAAGATTAATATTTATTTGTGGTAAAAATAAAAATAAGAGCAGGCCATGAAGCACAAGAAAAGCACTCAAAGAGAAAAAAGTGCCCGGAAGTAAAATGAAGATATGTCCTGCACGGTGGATGGATCGCTGCAAGAACAAGAGCGCCCGGGCATAGAGTCAGCTGCAGCTACCTTCTTTGATAGTTGATCCAGGTGGTCACACTTGACCTTGTGCTAGAAGACTGGTATCAGAGGCTGAGCTCCTCTTGCACTCCTGTCAGAGGATCTTGTGTCAGAAGATGGGTACTGGTGCAGGGTTTGGCTTGATCTCGTGTCAGGCACAGAAGCTGCTGCTCCGTGCCCGTGGTTAACAAGTCTCCCCACCAGCAGGGTGTGCCAGTTTCTCCAGCCATGTTGCCACACACAAGTCTCTTGCCTCAATGCAATGACCACCGAGTATTTGTTCATGAACAGTGCTCTGTAGAAAGCATGGGAGGAGGGCTCCAGTCGTCCTCACGCTGGCTCTGAGAGCAAGTTCTGAAGTCTGGGCTGGAATTCAGCACTCCCATTTACTAACCCTTTCATCCCACTGCCTGACTTTCCTCACATGAGAAAAAGAGATAATAAGAGCACAGTACCGACACAGAACCTCTGACATTATGTGGCATGATACATAAAAATTATCAGTAGTTTTGGCACAGAGAAACTGCTTAATAAACCCAACAAAGCTAGCTACTTTTATTGTATTGTTACAGGGCAATCAGCCATCTGGGTCGAGTAAGAAAATTATTTACAGGATGCTTTATATGTTATTTAAAAGATACATAGTTGCCTTTTACTAAATGCTAATTTAAATAATTGACATGTTTTAAAATAATGAAATAAATTTTTGAGAATTTATCATGTGTTATGAGCTTTATAGTGGTATTTCATTTAATCCTTATCCAAACCCAGAATGAAACAGCATTATCCCCATTTTACAAGCCTGCAAAATATCATTTCTTTGCCCAAGATTTCATACAGCAGTAAGTTGCCAAACTGAAAACTTAAGTCTAACATAATTCAATCCAGAAGGTTTAACATTAATTTTGTGATATATTCTCTGAATCAATGGATATTAAAAATACACCATTGTCAAGTCAATAAAATTTTTTCAGCATTCTATCTGAACATTTTATTGTCCTAACAAAAACAAATATATAAGGGGACTAAAAATCATTTTCACGTCATATATACATTAATTGTATATAATTAATATATGTATATGTATAATTATTACAGGTATTTTCTGGGAATGTTTTGAGACATTTGTCTCCCAGTGCATTGAGGTACAGGTGTGGGTGTATGCAAAGCTATATTTTTATGATAAGATAAATGGGCTCAGTCTGTCAATACTTTTAATTAACAGTACATTTCAAAACTCTTCATGTTTGGTATGGTCATTCTTAGCACAGTTCATGGTACATAGTAAAGGCTTATTAATTCTAGTTATGATTGTCACTGTCACTTCAACAGCTTGCCACTGGCAAGGCTTTAATAATTTGATATCTGAACAATATGTGGGAATATTCTTTTCAATACACTCCCACCTCTTTCTTGCCCTCTGTCCCTTAATTTTTTTTGCCAGTTTTGAAGATCAAAAATGGAATCATGTTATTTTATTGACACTTATCTTACTACTAATGTGTAAGCATTAATCATATTTTTGTTTCTCAAATTTTTTCTTTTTCTTTTTTTCTTTCTTTTTCTTTCTTTTTTTTTTTTTTTGTAGAACCAGGGATTGAACTCAGGCCCTTGTGCTTGCCAGGGAAGTGCTTATTCTAAGGAGCCATCTCCCCAGCCCCTCAATTTTTTTCTTTACTTCTTCTTTTATACTGCTGCTCTTATTGCTAAGAATTCTATGTCATGATTGTTATATGTCAGGAGCATACTACAGATATTTCACAAGCTTGTGACTTATTTTTTAACCTTATGTATTAGGTATTAGTTGTTTTCTTTAAATAAGTAAATTGAAAATTAAGTAATTAAACTTAATATTTTTTTATTTTATTTCTTTACACTTTACAAATGACTTATACCTATTCAAGCAACATAATGCATTTTTTTTTTGTGTGTGTGTGGTGGTAGAGATTGAACTCATAGATTTAAGTGCATAGTTAAGCAAGCACTTGTACCACTGAGCCACATCCTCACATAATATGACATTTGGACATTAAAACATGGCATGTATTTTTTTAAAAGCTGGGAACCAGCTAAGGAGATAGCTTAGTGGTCTAAGCATCTGCCTGGCAAGAGCAGGGACATGGGTTGTATCCCAGGCACCACATACCACGCCAGCCCCGTCCTCCCCTCCCCCCAGCACAGGGAGCTGGCCATGGAGTCTGGGTGTGGTGGCACACATCTGTAATCCCAGCATTGGTGAGGCTAAATACAGGAGGATCACTACAAGTCTGAGCTGCATAGTGACACCATATACTAAATACATAAAAAAAGCTGGGGGACTACTGGGGGAACATAATAAGTCAAAGGGGACATGAATCTGTACTTGTGTCAATGGGAAGAAGTTAAAAGGTTCTTTGCTTCTGGGAGTTTCAGTGGCTTTAACAAGTTTCTTGCTTGTCAAAATCTAAAACTATGAGTTTTTTTTTTTCTGTTGTTTTCTTGAAAGTGTAGTGCCTTGTCTCACAAGTAATCCACTACAAAGTGCAATACATCAAAAAAACTCTCATCTTAGTAGTATAGTTGAGACTTCTGAGGCAGGGGGTTGGTTATGTTTTTGAAAATGGACAGTAACAGTGGCTACATACTTCCAAATCATCCAGTATGTTTACTGTGAAGAGGAAAATACTCTCACTTCTTGAAAAATCATGCAACAGTAAGTGTATATGTCCCATATTTGTGGGCTTGAAAGAATACTGACAAATGTTCAAATAAAATTGTGTTGTTTTAGTAACTCAACTTTGGACAGGTGGCTTATTGAGTCCCACAATAAGAAGACATTTAATACATTATCTGTACCATAAAATTCATAAATTAAAATAAAAATATCTTTTCCCTCCACTTAAGAGATGCATGACTTTACAAATGTTTGAAACCCATACTCACTTGAAAAAAAATCTTTTTCTTTTCCAGCTTTTGTTTCTACCCATCTAACATCATCAATGGCTACTGACTGCAATGCTGTGGTAAGTATCCTTGGGAACACTGGATTTTAGGTACAGTCAGATGAATGAAGAAGTGAAATAGTAGTTGAGTTGGTCTTGTTTGGGTCTCTATTTATTGCCCCACATTTCATTAGCCACAATGGACTCGAATGACCCTAGTTTTGTGTCCCAAAGTTAAATAGTCCCTAAGCCTTTAAGAATTCTGATTAAGATGAAGAAGTACAATCGTGTACTCTATGTTGTAAAGAAAGGCCAGCTATATTATTAGTACAACCTCTCAGGCAACCTCTATTGCAAAAATTATGTGTAATTATGTTGAAATTGTGGGATTTAAATAAAAATTATAACCATAGGTTTGTCTAAAATAGGCATGTGAATTGAGCAAGTGTATATTACCTGCATTACATGAGAAAACTTTGGCAAGGAAAATTGAACTAGCTTATTTTATTTTTTATGATTAAGCTTATTGGTACAATTTAGATAGACACAATGACCACATTCTTCTCCTTCTTTTTTAAAAATAATTTTATTGAGAAAGAAGTAGGAATGAAATAGTTTCAAAACAGGTTAGCAGTACAGCTGCAATAATTAATACGTTGCATATTGTTGTCTTTGTGGTAGTTATTCATAGTAGAAGATACAGACATGAAATCTTGTCTAAACACTATTAGTTCAAAACTTTCTTCTCATTGAAATAAGAGAAAGTAACTGTATATCTATGCTATTTTGTAAATACAGATATTTATTTATTTATTTTTCACTACAAAATAGTCTTTTTATATCACCCCTTTCTGTTTATTTTTGTCAGAGTTGTGTATTCCATTGCCATTCGTATATTGTAGGTGTATGAATTTAGCAGAGTAACCCAGTTCCTAGAGAACTGTACTGCGGGGGGCCAGGGAGATGGCTCAGTGGAATAAGTGCTTCCCTGGCAAGCGCAAGGACCTGAGTTCAATCCCTGATTCCGATAATTAAAAAAAAAAAAAAGAAAGGAGAACTGTACTGCATGTGACATACTTTGGTTCCTCTTCTTTCCTCATTCCCTCTCCTCCCTCCAACTCCTCTCCGCCACCTTATTTACAAAATTTTATCCTTCAGTTTTTCTTTTCCCTGTCTTCCTTTCCCCTTCCCCCTCTCTAGTTTAGTACAGCAACATCGAATGTCTAATAGGAAGGGGTGTGCAGTGGTGTGGCATCGTGCAGTGGGCATCTTTTTTGGCAGCTCTAATGACTTCGTGATGGGGGCACAGGACAGAGTTTGGACATAAAGCCTAAAGCACAAAGCAGAAGCAGGAGCGATGATCAGGAGAGGAGGACAGACTTGCTGCCAAATTGGCAACGTGGACAGTGGTGTCATGGTACAAATTAGACAGTGTCTGTCAAGGCAAGTTTCAGTAACAGTGATGGAGGAGTGGAGTTAACTGGACAGCTCCTGGATGGAGCACCTTATGGAAAAGCAGGACAGCTCATAAACTCCCTGCTCGGCTTGCTGACAATTCCATATCCAAGAAATAGAGAAGGCAGTGAATGCATTTTAAACTTGATGATAATTTTGAATAAGGAAGAAAAGCTTGTTAGTGATGAAAAATGGTGGAAATTTTGGAAGTTAAGAATGCGAAAAACTAATAAGGAAAACAAATTATAGTCAATCATGTATTGTTAGAAATTTGTCATCTAAATTGTGGAGAAAAGGAAGATGTGATCTTTTAAACATTAAAGGTTGAGTATAGTTGATAGCACTATGTGAGTCATTACAGTGACAATGCCTAAGAGGAAAAACTAAGAGAATGAATGAGGCTGAAGTAACAGACTGGCAAGGAATTTTTGAAAAAGCAAATTTGCAGGGTAAAAAAGAAGGTCTTATTGTAATGGTAAAGCCAGTGCATATCGCAGACCTATAAAAGTGTCAGGAAAACTGATGTTCTGAGTGACCAAAGGTCTTACAAAATTTTTAAAAGAAAAAAATGTGCTTTATAAATGTACATAAAATATAATATATGTACATGTATTGTATATGTATAGGATACAGAAATGGCTGGCCAAGTAGTTCAGTGGATTAAAGCACCTGCAAGTAGGCACAGGGGCCAGAGGTTCTATCCTTGGACCTGCAGTGCCAGCCCCACCCCTGGGGCACGCTGAGATGGCAACTGAGACTGGGCGTGGTGGCTTGTGGCTGTCCTCCCAGCTCTTGGGAGGCTGTAAACAGGAGGATCACTACGAGTCTGATCTAGTAGTGAAACCCCAAACACCCTGTAGACCCTTTCCTAAAATACAGAAAGAAAAAAAAAGACACAGGAATGAAAGAAAGCACTAAGATCATCAGATTCTTGAGAAAACTAGTGCAATGTTTAACACTTACATTGCTTTCAATTTGCACTAAAAGAATCTGATGTTCTAATGGGAGGAAATTCATCTTGTGTTTAAGAAGAAATGGAAATTAAGGCAATCGGAGAGCATGTAAACACTTTAATGAACTCATTCATCTATTGAAATGCTCATTTAATTTCCACTCGGATCCTATCTTGTTTCAAGAAAGGAACTGGAGACTTAATTTAATTTAGGCAAGGTGAAATCTCCACATCTCGGAAAAGCTATAACCTAGGTTTTAGAATAAAGACCACAGACCTTATCATCAAGGAACTAGCATGATCCACATCATCCCCAATCAAGAGTCATTACTGCTGCGATGTGTAATCTGGTTTCACTGGTGCTGGGCACAAATGTATTCTGTTTGTTAGTGGAAACCGGCTATTAATGGATTGTTCTCATTTCACGAGCCATCCACCCTCTAGATTCCATCAGCCCAGCTCCCCTTGCGTGTCTGTTTACCTGTTATTTCTCTCTCATAGCCATCAGCATCTGGGTGGGACTCTTTCATATCTCTCTTAAGCATTTCTTCCAGCTGCTTTTCGGTTGCACTACTTTATCTTTCCATTTAGAAAATTAGTTCAATTTTCTGCTGTCATTTGTTCCCTGAATAACATGAGGCACAGGAGGCCTGTTTTTGTGCTAGGGACTTTCAGTGTGCTTAACACACGTGACCCATTTCCATCTCAAATGGTTGTTCATTCACACTGAACTAACATTTACTGAGCTACGTGTGCTGAGCACTCTGCTTGGTAGTGGAGGCCGAAGATGAGCACTGTAGCACCTCAGAACAATGTAAAGGCACCTTTCATGTTCCTAGCCTGATAGTCATGAGGTTGGTGTGGTAACTGGAGCTCAGAATTTTAAACTAAATTCTAGGCTTCAAAAATTTTATTTTCTGTACTGTTGGCACTTCTGTTGTTGTCAAAATGAGTTCTTTGCTGTCTTGTAGTATTATTTTCTTTCTTTTAAAAGAAATGGTAAAATTTTCAAAATTAAAGCTGAATATAGAGCCAAAACCCCATCAAGTTCTGCTTGTGTATCTTAAATATTTTTCTGTCCTTACAGCTATGCTTCTCATTTTTATTCTCATTGGACCTTTGCCTTTTCGCTTATTCCCTCCAATCCACTCAGCATGCAAATCCAAAGACAGATTTTCTTAAATGCAAGTCTGATTTACCTGCTTATGTTGTCTCAGTGGCTGTTCCTTGACCTTCATAGAAACTCTGTAGTTTAAAACATAATTTGAAAGGCTTCATACACTCTGTTACCGGTACAGTGACTTCCCCCTCCCCTCCGTGGTTGATGTATGCTGGCTCAAATCTGTGTTGCTTTACCAGATCCTGTCACATCTGGGCCTTTATCTTTCAAGACTTTGATCTGATCTACTCATAGGCTGCTTCTCTGACTCCTCACTTTGGGTCATTTGGCTCTTTCATGCGTGCTTCTGTCGTACCCCACTTTAACACTCATCTTCAGACTTCATCTTCGTTTGTTTGTCTCTCTTCCATGTTTGATGGAAGATGTTGTAAAAGCTTGTTTGCCATTCACTTTCTGGTCCTTTGCATTGAGTAACTGAACAGGAAGTGATTGTTGAATAAACAAAAGCCTTATTTTATAGACTGGCCTGATGGAAAGAATTAATGGAAATACATTTAGGATCTGGATCACAAATTCTTGGGAAATCTCCAACATAATTGTTAGATTTGGTGCAACCACTAACTATCTTTGAGAAGCCACTTATGTAATCTCTGATATTAAGAAGGCATTCATTCCATGTATAACACTACAGCAATAACAAACTATTATGGCCTAAGTCAGTATTGCTTTATTTTCTTTAACAATTAGTTTGTCATTAAAATCAAAGAATGAATGAATCAATTAATTGATATAGAACATTAGGAATCTTTAAGACTTGATTAGAAAGTGCTCTGCTTTTACATTTTAGTAAGAATGTTTTATCCAAGAAAATAAAACAACCTTGTGAGGAAAATGGAACCCTACTCCATTGCTGGTGGGAATGTAGGCTCATGCAACCATTGTGGAAATCAGTGTGGAGACCCCTTAAAAAGCTAAGACTGCAAATCCCATTAAAACCAGCTATTCCCCTACTGGGAATTTTCCCAAAGGATCTGAAAACATCATATCATAGTGATATATGTTTACCTATGTTTATAGAAGCACAATTTATGATAGCCAAATCTTGGAAACAACCAAGACACCCGTCACCTGAGGAATGGATGAAAAAGATGTGGTATTTTTATACAATGGAGTATTACTCAGCTACAAAGAATGATAAACTCTAAACCTTCATATTTAAGTGGATGCCACTTGAAGATATACTCATAAGTGAAATAAACCAGACCCACATGTGTAAATATCATATAGCCTCCCTACTATAAGAACTCAAAAGAAGAAATACAAATAGAAAGGTATAACACAATTAAAAGGAAAGTGAGGACTTGAGGATTAGACAATGAAGAGAGACCAAGGAAAAAAGATAGGAAACATGAGAGGGGCAAAGCCGTACATTTATATGTACAAGATGGGTAAGAAAATGATCTTGAGAATCTTCAGAAGGTTTTTGAAGATACCAGTTAATGGGTAGGATTCTCACCCTGACTAGCTATATATACAGAAACCTGTGAACTAAGC